AACTTATATTCTGACGGTGGATCTTTGCAAATGGGTTTAATCGACAGAAAATTTAATCTTTTATCAATTTTGTTTTTCTATTTAGTCAATTAGTTTATTATCGATGAAAAACTTGGGAAATTCTGATAGCGTTTTTTGTATCAGTAATAGACACTCAGGTTTTCGAATCAACATATGTTGTTTTTATATAATTAAAAAACCCAAAATGAAAACCCTACAATTTTAAATAAGAAAATGGCAAACTACAGATGAATAAATGAAAAATTTAAACCTATCCAAAAGAAAAACTCCCTAAAATAAAAAATCAGCCTGGCTCCATTGAAAAATCAACCAATAGGCTATTGGTATGATATGATTGGTATGATGACTGGTATGATATTATGTGAGGTTTTGGCATCGTTTTCCTAAGTGTTATCATTTTCTAGCCTCAAATCTAATCATATTTACATTATCTTTTAGACATTTAAAGTTTATTACATGTTAATGAGTTTAAAACTGCCTATTACTGGTACATTTATCCTAATATATGTATGAACAATAGGTAAAATATGTATATTAAAAATCAATCCTTTTCTCTTATTTATCAGTTACCACTTCACAATAACTAAATCTGCTAATGTTTAACTTATAGGGTACTTCCTTAACTAAATGTTAATTCATGGATGGATTTCCAATGTTCATCAATAATTTCAATGCTGAGTTTAGGAACTTATCTATTATTACATCGATGAGTTTATGAACATCTTGTAAGATTTCCGATACTCACCACTGTTCTCAGGGCTGAGTTTAGGAACTACCCCATTGCGTCTTATATATAACTAAGTCATTATATCTTATATTTAATTATATATAATTCATCTCATTACTTGATTTTCTTTTTTTTTTTTTTGTCATTTTAAATCAATGTAGTTTAAAATGTTTACTTTTCCTAAACATTTACTGAAATGTTTTTTATTTAAATGCTTCACATTATAATAGTAATTATATATCCAATCATGAGTTGTAATTAACTAGAAACTTTCTAGAAACTTAAATAGAAATCTAGAAATGTAATTAACTTATGGTTGTTGTATGAGTGAAATTCATTATTTTTTAATTATGTTATGAAGCAGGTTCAAATGACAAAATCATGTTCGATAAAAATAATTCTAAGCTTTTTACATTTAATTATAAATTTAAACAATGTAGTTCGGGTAGTTTCTCTATTAATGAAGTATTATTAATATTATTATTTTTGCATTCCTTGCATTTGTTAAACTGATTTATTGAAAATATCCTGAAGAAATTTACTAATTTAAGTTTCATAAAATAAAAGTATTTTGTTAGTATATTATTTTTCAAGTGTAAGTATTTACAAATGGTAATTAAGTTTAAAATAGAGTCGATATAAATTTATAACATGGCAGCAGCATTAATGTTTGTACAGGAAATATCAAAAATATGGTAGCCAATGTTGTTCTATATTTTTTTCATAAAATGTTGTTGGTCTGAAGTCGTTGATATTCCTTCCTCTCTTTAGTGTCTTTATTTTATTTCATGTTTATCATTTTATTATTTATCATATTTCATGGAGTTCTACTGTTTTATTCCTTTGTATATTGCTAGATTTCTGTCCATACAAAAACATCTAGATATTTTCATATAGTTTTTTGTTAACATATTTAATGAATGTTAATCACCGCACATAACTGTTTGTTACAAATCATAACTAGAAGTATGGCAGTAGTGTTTTATTCATTGTGTTGTAAAACGGCATTTTACTAATAACACTATGATATAGGTATTTCGTCGGTTACACTAGTAACAAGTTATTTACTATGTGAAACTCACCGTAATAGTTTAACATAATATATAATGTCATTTGACATCTTATTTTTAACTTATATCTTTCATTCTTACACATTTTGGGATTTTTCTCAGGTACGGTACATCTATAAACTATTTTAATTAAAATATAATTTAATTTTGATGTAGAGATGGTTGACCGTTGATATAATATGAGAAGGAGTTGATCGAGAGGTGCGGTCAAATGAATACTAAATTAAACAAATAGTATTATTTAATTTTTGCTGATGTTTCGACCCATTTTGCAGGTCTTCATCATGGCGAAGGATGTAGCACTGTGGGAGGCAGTTGAAAAACCTCATAAGAAAAACCCCAATCATAAGCTTATAATGATAGGTTTTTCAACTGCCTTCCGCAGTGCTACATCCTACGCCCTGATGAAGACCGGAAAAGTGGGGCGAAACGTCGGCAAAAATTAAATAATACTATTTGTTTAATTTAGTATTTTTTTGACCGCACCCCTCCTCCCCCTCCCCCCCCCCATCAACTCCTTCTCAATAATTTAATTTTATCTGAGACATATTATCATTGAAATACTTGAGCATTATTTATCATTGAAATTTAAGAATATTCTTGTGAAGTATATCCTTAAGTTAAATTAATGATTGTTAAGTTAAATAGAACAATTTCTGAATTGGAATTTAACTTCATTAATCATTAATTTGAAATATATTAAAAGTTTATATATTAGAAAAAAAGATATTAATACAATTTTTTAACTAAGGTTAAATTTTGACTGTTTAAAATTATTTTTATCTTACATTTATTGGAAAACACTCTTATTTTTCTCTTTTTCAATCTTGTTTAACTTTATAAACTCTTGTTTGTTTTAAATATTTAATTTTCATAACAGTATATAACACAGTCGGATCTACGGGGAAGAGGGGAGGATTTTGGGCTGAAGCCTCCCTCCCAAATGGTAGAATGTAACTGTATTTTAATGTAAAAAATATTACAAAATTATCTCTTAAAGTATTATTGTCGGTGTAATTACATTTAATTGGACTTCAAGAATAATTTAAACACCGTTTCATGTATGTAGTTAGTATCTTTCTTTTTTTTCCAAAGTAATTATCATTATATATATATGAAAAAAAAAAAAAAATTCCGGCTGAAGCCTCCTCAAAATCAAATCCTGAATCCGATAGTGGTATATATTGACCTGATAGTTTATAATATGAGGTGTTAATAATGCTCAATGGCATTAAGGAGTTCTTAACTAGGGAAAATTTGTTAATTTTATTTATTTTCCAAAATATGTTGATAATGATTACTATATTTTCTTTGATATTTTACAAACAAGCAATAATATTATTCTAGAAGTAAAAAATAGAAAAGAATAGATAGGACTTATTTATTATTAGTTTATAATGTTTCTTAATCTTACTCAAAAGTATTGAAAATGGTTACATTTATTGTTTGCATACAAGCAGCGAACATAATTTTGAAACAGAATCATAATAATTTTGAGATAACTTGTTGCATTTTACTTCCTGAAAAGATGCCAACTGTAAATGACTTGTTTGTAACTGTAAATCATATCCAGAAGCAACAAGCTACTATGGCTAACCATTCTACATCTATTACTCTTTATAATATTTTATATTTGTGCTCATAATATGCTTTGTAAAGTTTTTTTTTTTCAATAATATTCATAGTTGTGATTAAATTATTTTCTATTTACCCTGCTTTCATCATAAGGACATAATGATAATTTAAATTTCAGTGAACTTTGTTCGCACCTAATACTGAATAACACATAAAAAATAAATTAATGAATAAATAAAAGGAATATTTAAACACTCCAATCACTGGGGAATATTTTTTGTAGTTAATAACCAATACTCAGTTCCAACGTCTGATTCAGTACTAATTTACAAGAGTTCCACAGGGATTACAGAGGGAGGTTCACAATCACTTCGATCACACTTGTTCATGAAAAAAAGAAAGCAGTTGAATGTTGCCGAATGTTATGACGTCAGTTTTTTCCCTAACCTTACATGTCCGTTTGACACATGGAGCAAGTTACGCCATAGCATTTTTTTGAGTGAGGCATATTTTGACGGGTTTTTTAATTTTCGAGGGTAGAAAATTTCGACGAAGTTATGAATTTTCGGACTAAGGGACAAGGGAGAAACATAAAACAGACCGCAGCAATTGTAATTGTAAATGATCTACCATTTTTCTAATTCTACCTTAACTTCTTCTGGTTTTTAGAAATGGTGAGCAATAAAATATCTTGGGAGGAGATGGGCAGGTAGGTTCTTGTGCTATCGACCGTGGGGGAGGGGGGAGATGGGCACCCCTGGTGACGATCCAGGAAAAATCTGTCACTGCTCCAGTGACACTAGTGGAACAGTGACAAATTATCAGTCCAGTGACAGTAACCAAAGTGTTCTTGTCCACCCCCTTACTTAATTTATCAATATCCAGTCGAATCTTTATTTGTTTTAATGGAAGAAACCTATAGTCTAGAGCCTATCACATAATAACAAACATTATTATCCTTATGGAAATACAAATTCATTCCTTTTTATTCCTCATAAAAGATAATATAACACTCTTAAGCATAAATTAAAAATAATATTCGGTACAAATCAGACAGTTAAAATAGTTTCAATTATCAAATTAATATAAAATCTAAAATTGTTAACAATATACCTAAATAAATACACATAAAACAATAAATACACATTTTTTTTTAAAATATTAATATTAAACTATGTTTTAAAATTAAATTAAAAGATCCACCCCTATACCTAAGAGAACAACAAGGAAATTAGCCATACAGATTAACAGATAATTTGATAGAATTGAGATATAAAAATATAATTTTCTCATATCTTCTGCACTGGTTGGCTTTAATATTTCTATCCCATCAAGATTTTCCATACCCTGGTAAAAATTCTTAACTTCAAACTACTGTAAATTGGGTATTTACCTTTTCTTTAGTGTTGCACATTTTGCTCTCAAGTTGTGGAGTAATTTTCACAATTTTATTATTAATAGAAATCTTGATCATATATTTTCCCGAGAGTCGGATCTGCATTAATAGTTTCGTATATTTGAAATTAGTTGGTATAAACAAATACTGTTATTGAGATTGTTATTAAGAAAAAAGTTTAAATGTTCACTATAAGATGAGCTATGCAATGTTATCCTGTCTCCGTCCTGCAAATGTTGTTTATATTTATTTAATATCCAGATATTTGTTCTAATTATGGCTGGGTTTATATTATGAATATATTAATATGTTATATATCGTTTATAACAAAAGGACAAGAAGATTGTGTGCTTTTTGTAGCCATATTTGATATATAAAAGGATTTGTGTCATTTTCATGTATTTAGAGTGGTTTTGTATCGAAAAATAAAGTCGAAATTCACTAAAAGAATATTTGAAAGTTAACCTATATCAAAAATGCACTTCCTGACCTTTTGTATTAAACCGATGATATAGACTAATATTAAAAATATTTTTATATTTCTTGAGAGAGGGGTGGTTTCAGCCTGAAAGCTCGCCTTAGATTCGTCCCTTTTTGAATTTCCATTAATAGCGTGATCATGTGATCTTGGCCCACTCGTCAATGTGGACCTACATTTGTACAGTTGTAAGGTTTATTTAATTATTATCATTATACTACTCTAAATAAGAAAATGTGAGTTATTTGTGTATTTTATTAAAAATATTTAAGAAAATATGTTATAAATAACACTTCAAACGTACCTCCTAACCTCGAAAAAACGAAGTATATAATAACGCTGCCACATGCACAGAAACACAATCAAACTGTATTCAATAATAGCCCAAGCCATTATGGCAGTATTTGAATTCTCGTTTATGTTGTGATGGGATCTTGTCCTAGCGTGCATATATTCAGTTTCTGTCTTGATAAATTTGAGTCCCATCTCTACTTTGTGCACCATTGCTTCTAGATCGTTCTGAGCCAACATCAGCTCGTTTTCCAACTCGATATCGTAGTAATCGAAGTTGAACATGATGAGTTTCGGGACTTGGGTGCTGAAGGTGTTGTGGAAGCAGAAGAAATACCTGCCGTGGATTGGTGCTCTGAAAGAATGCGCACCATAGGTCGCTTGTCGCCTGTGGTACAATGGCTTAGCCTTCGGGTCCACCATGAGCACGTCGATGTCGAGGAATCCTCCGACAAGAACTTGGAATACCAGTTGCAGTTGGGTACCGTTGAGGACGTGCTCGAAGAAGCACTCTTCTCCGTAGCTGTCCACCAATACGATGTAAGCCATCAATGGAGATGGCAAGAAGAGAAGAAACAATAAAATTGTACAGTTAAAGGTGGCCATTTGTGAATGCCAGCGAAGGTAACAAACATGGAAGTACTATTCGTCGTTGGTATGGGAGGTTACTAATAGATTTTAACCTAACGTATGTTTAAATATTATACAAACTATGGAAAACATACATTTATTTCGTAAATCGATTGTTTGTTTTGACTGTTTATATCTTGTTGGCAGTGTCTGTTCCATCTCCAGTCTGTTCTTTTAAGAGAAATCAACGGGGATTTAACTTTTACTTTTACGGGGATTCGTGGTATAGACCATAGCTTCATCTCATCGTGAACTACAAATATTTTATTTACGATTATTCTCGGAATTGGGGCTTTTTCAAACTGGAGAACGACAAACTTTGTCTATTTAATTAGGTACTAAAATCTCGTAAATACTTATTTGCTTTCTACTGTGATAATAAGATAATTTGATCACAAAATCGATACAAAAAAGGTGGCCTACAAATATATTGCACCGTTTGGCCTATACAACCTCGTTATTTTGAAAATTTGGGTATGTAGTTCACGCGAAACGGTTCAATATTTTTGAAGGCCATTATATATGAATATATTAGCATTATAATTTTGAATACAACAAATTGTAGACAAGTTACAATTACAGTAGATTAAATTAGATTAGGCCTGTTCTTTTAAGAGAAATCAACGGGTGGTTTACTAATAGTCCATGGTACAGACTCTTTTTTTATCAAATTATTAACATCCGCCTGAAACTTCGTAAATAGCTCCATCTCATCGTAACCTACAAATATTTCATTTACGATTTTTCTCGGAATTGGGGCTTTTTCAATCTGGAGGGGGACAAACTTTGTCTATTTAATAAGGTACTAAAAATTCATGAATACCCAATTGCATTCCACTTGAATCGTAAGACGATTTAAGATCACATCTGCAACATAAACAGTAAACAAATGTCACGAAGCGGCACTAGCGCTGGTAGTCCGTGGTGCATACCCCTTTTTATCAAATTATTAACATCCGCCTGAAGCTTAGTAAATAGTTTCATCTCATCGTAACGTACAAATATTTGATTTATGATTATTCTCGGATTGGGCTTTATCAATCTGGAGATCGGCAAACTTTGTCTATTTAATAACGTACTAAAAATTCATGAGTACTCATTTGCTTTCCACTTGAATCGTAAGATAATTTGACCACAAAGTCGAATAAAAAAAAAAAGAAAGCGACCTAAAAAAATATTGAGGTGTTTGACTTAGTTATTTTGACATTTTAGGGGGTAAAGGAGGTGGTGGTGTGGGAGGTTACTAATAGATTTTATCATAACGTATGTTTAAATATTATACAAACTATGGAAAACATAAATTTATTTCGTAAATCGATTGTTTCTCTAAGCTGTTTATATCTTGTTTTGTGTCTGTTCCATCTCCTGTCTGTTCTTTTAATGGAGTTTTACTAATAGTCCGTGGTACAGATCCCTTTTTATCAAATTATTAACATTCGTCTGAAACTTCGTAAATAGCTTCATTTCATCGTAACCTACAAATATTTGATTTATGATTATTCTCGGAATTGGGGCTTTTTCAATCTTGAGATTGGCAAACTTTGTCTATTTAATTAGGTACTAAAAACTCGTAAATACTTATTTGCTTTCTACTGTGATAATAAGATAATTTGATCACAAAATCGATACAAAAAAGGTGGCCTACATATATATTGCACCGTTTGGCCTATACAACCTCGTTATTTTGAAAATTTGGGGGTGTACATCACGCGAAACGGTTCAATATTTTTGAAGGCCATTATATATGAATATATTAGCATTATAATTTTGAATACAACAAATTGTAAACAAGTTACAATTAGATTAGATTAGGCCTGTTGTTTTAAGAGAAATCAACGGGTGTTTTAGTAATAGTCCGTGGTACTGATCCCTTTTTATCAAATTATTAACATTCGTCTGAAACTTCGTAAATAGCTTCATCTCATCGTAACCTACAAATATTTTATTTACGGTTATTCTCGTAATTGGGGATTTTTCAATGTTGGCATTGGCAAACTTTATCTATTTAATATGGTACTAAAAATTCATGAATACCCATTTGCTTTCCACTTTAATCGTACGATAATATGACCCCAATGTCCAAAAAAAAAAAAGTGGCCTATAAAAATATTGAGGCGTTTGGCTTATATAACCTCGTTATTTTGACATTTTGGGGAGTGAAGGCCTAGCGAAATGGACCAATATTTTTGCAGGCCATCTTTTTAATCGATTTTGTGATCAATATTTCGCGATCCAAATGTAAAACAAATGGGTATTTACGAGTATTTAGTACGTAATTAAATAGACAATGCCGACTTTTTAATTGAAAACGCCCCGAAAATTTCGAGAATTTTCGTAAATATTTGTAGGTTGCGATGAGATGAAGCTATTTACGAAGTTTCAGCCGGATGTTAAATATTTGATAAAAAGGGGTCTGTACCACGGACTATTATGGTAGTTTCAGTATTTTTTTTTTCAGTTCTGAACTCTGTAGCAACCATAAATTTATTTTAGAGATATCCAATAGTCGATAAGTAGCATTGTTTCACAAACTCGATTTTATCCCCCTCTGGTACCCCCTCCTCCTCACAGTTGGTATCATATTTATAATTATTACGTTACACATTTTTACGATTTTCTCAAAATGGCCCTAACGATTTTGATTAAATTAATCATATTAGAGTAAATTAATCAGTTTTAAATAAAATGTAGTATTTATTATGGTTGATGTTCTCTAACAGGGCTTAAAAGGCTAATTTAATCTATATTAGCTTCCCCTAAAGTACCTTGACCATTTTATATTAATCTCCAATATAAAATATAGTTAAATATAAATTATCAAAGAAGTTCATTCTTAAATAAAGGAGGAATAAGACATCGTAACGAAGAATATTTGTAATTGAGGAATCAAAGGAATACGAACGCACCCGAGCTTGCCCGAAAAATTAGAATACGCTTCCACACGTAACATGAACTTAATATAATAAGGACTCCGACAATGTTATGTAAATATACATATGCAGTTTTCATAAATACTATTGATGGTATTATTTAATATTTAATTGTATACATTACTGCGATATAAATATTAAAATTCCTATAGATTATAGAAATAAAAATACCCACAATATAAATAATTATAGGGTCTATAATTTTCACGTTCACTTCTCTTTTGTCTGAAAATATCTTTTTCTGCTAAGAGGGTGGCAAATGAAAGTTGTGTGATTTACGCACTACATTTTTTATAATAGAGAACAGTAGCAAGTAAGTATCTTTTACCTCCTCAGTTTTTGAAAATACAAAAAATTCTAATCAAATTTAAAATATACTTTCTCTAGAACATTATATTTGTTATTTAAAAGGCTAGACGTACTCTTTTTTACTATAATATTTCAACTTTTAATTGTATAGTATAGTAAAAATATTTACTTACTTATATGCCATATATTTTTAACATTTGTGCCCCTGACATATTGGTCAGGGAAAACTGTCATTAAATATGGAAAAGTCAGGGAATTTTACTCTAACAGTCTGGTTGCCACCCTGGTCTTATCTCTTTGAATTTATGAGAGTACAGATCTATCAGTTACTGGCAAAAGGTCTCATTTTAAGGTTTCAGTAGATACCAATTAAATATCATTAAATTTCGCTGCTTTAACAAGCCTTATCCACTTCTACCTATTTCTTTTCATTTGTCTACATGCAGCTCTATTGCTTCTTAGTTGATTCAATCTATCAATCTGCTTTTTGGCAGTTTTAGTATTTTACCTACTATTGAGGCATTCATTGTCGTTTATTATTAGAAACAATAAATTATATATTCAAAAGTATTTCTGATTTTATCAAGTAAACTGTATATTCTTCTTTCGGTGGTTCTTATTGTACTAAAATATTTATCTTTGCCTCAATGGACGCATGACCTCATTTTAAGGCTACATGAGAAGAAATAAAACAAAGCGTTTACCGAAAGCCATTACCATGTTTGCCCTCGGGCCCTGGCGGTACTTAAGCCCAGAGAAACACTTTAACCTCCGCAGCTTTACTGCTATCTGGCAGCGACGGGAGGAACTAATCTGCCATGAAGGGCAAATTAATTGTGGGCGGAAGAGGTTGAGCCACTACTAAATCCCGGCCGGGATATAGAGTAGGGTAGCTTAGCTCCTTTTTGCCTCCTAATAAATATTCCATATCCTCCTTCCATCTTCCCTGATTAAAGGTGTGCGCCTTTTAATTAATTTTGCCATTTAATTACCTATTTAATTATTATTTTAAACTTCATTTCTTTACCCACATCTGTCAGAAATACTTACAACTATTGAGTATTCAGTATAAATTATAATAGGAGTACCCAGCCGGCATCCCTTCCTAACTTCATTTAAGTATATATCTTTGAGTGCGTAGATTCCTCGTTCAGCTTCTCTTGAGCTTTCTAAGTGTGTAATCGGGCATGCTAATTGTATTCAGTAAGTTATCGTGAAAGTTTTGTAGTTTGTCCGTATGTGGTCATGGAAGTGTTACTGTAGCAATTGTATTATTTTTTTTAGCAAATTATTAATGATAAAAAAATGTTTTGGCCAATTATAGGAATCAACTTTTTTTGTACTAGGAAGGCAATGTTACTTTAGATGTATAATTGTTTGGAAATAATGAACAATCGTGAAATATTTGCAGAGTTTTTTATTTATATTGTAATTATTCAAAAATTAATTTAGAATGGACTATCTGCTGTAATATCTGCTAGAAAGCTAAAATGTGATGAAGCTCCTCAAGAACAGAGACCTGTGTCGAGTGGTGGAGTAATAAAGTGTGCCCGGAGCTGGAAGATATTCGGTGCTGAATGGAGGAGTCACATATTCCTCCCGACCCGATATGTGAGGAGGCGTTAATGAAATACTTCCTAACCACTCCCGCCAGATATTGGCTTCTGTATTCAACTCAATCTTACGCGCTGAATGTGAAATGAGTCAATGTTGAAACTCCTCATGTAATATTATCAA